GCCCATAGCAAATGATACAAATTTGGAGAAATGTACAAGGACGAACAATAAAGTCTCCCTTCCACCCCATACTCCTAGTCCAGCAGTCAACTTCCACAGAAACAAAATTGTTAATAACATAAACTTAAAAGAAAGTGGTTGGTAGAATGCTCTATAGACTATTCTACACCTTACTTTTATTACTTAAAATACTGTGAAGGTCTGTTTATATTAAGAGATCTACCTCATACTTTTAAATGTCTGCCACAAAGCTGTGCTATAATTGATTGAACCATTTTCCCTAAACTTCTAGTGTTTCCATTCTTTGCTTTTACAAGCAATGCTGCAGTAAACATCTTTATACAGATCATCTGGGGCATAATAAGATAGTATCTTGGACATGGAATTACTGAGAGACTTTAATCATTAAATTTTTTTTTTTTTTTTACTGCTTGATGAATAGAAGCAGATAAAACCCTACCTTCCGCTTTAAATCTGTAAGAAGTTTCTACTTGTCAAGAGATGGAGACTGCAATACTCCAGAGGGCAAAATGTTTCATTATTCAGGATAAACCGTTCAAATGGGTTATTTAGTTATTCAAAAGCATTAAGCTAAAACTTCTGTGTGATTGATAATGCAAAAGTGAACCCATGCTGGTGGCAGAATTAGATTTCTGTTGCCTGGACTGCTTTTGGAGGAAATGTGGTTCAGCTAAATGTTGAGAATGTGAGAGGAAAAGCTCACTGTTTCTCAAGTCTCTTCGGACTCTAGGAATCAGCTCCTATCCTGGAGAGGCGAGGGGAGCTGGCAGCTGCTTAAACAAGAGACGTCGAGTAGTCCCAGCAGAAGCAGAAGTGCTTCATAGTTCAGGTGACAAAAAAACGAACTAGGGCTGAGTAGAGGTCATTTTCTTTGCCTCTAGAATCCCGTGTTGGTGACTTATTGAGAATGGTATATCCATTCCCAAAGTGGATTCCAGGAACTGCTGTAGATGGGTCCTGCGTAGCCAGCAGGAACACAGTGCAGGAAGCTGGCAGCTCGGTCTGCGGCTTTCCCCGGAAATGCAGAGTGTATGAGAGGCCCTGTTCAGCAATGGTATTAGACCATGACTATGGGAGCCCAATTAACCCCAAAGAGATTTCCTTGGCAGGTATTTTACATTTTTATATGATATTTTAATGTGAATTTCAATATACAATAAACTTTCAGTGTGTACCTTAGTGAATTTTCCCAAAGTAAACTGCACCCAGATAAGTGTTTTCAGAATCACAGAAACTCCCTCTAGTTCATTTCTAGTTACTACTCCCAAATTGACTTTTAACACCATAGGTTTTCACCTGCTTTTTTTTTTTTTAACTTCATAGAAATGGGTATAGTATGTATTCTTTGTGTGTGGCTTCTCCTTCTCCTTTTTTTTTTGTGTGCATCGTTCCCGGAGGTACTGCAATACCGGGATGATGCGTGGAGTGGACGGAGCAAGCTCCTATACCATCTCCCTATCCCAAAAATACATTTCATATAATGTCCTCAGATAGAGGACGTATCAGGTATTAAACCGATAAGAACAGATACTACACTTGATCGTAGCCAAAAGGCCGAGAAGCAATGTGTCTGGCTTCTTTTACTCACATTGATTGTAAGATTCATAATTGTTGTAAAGTTGCAGTTTGTTCTCAGTATTGTATAATATTCCATATTTATCTATTTTATTCATGGACTTGGGTTGTTTCTAGTGTGGGCCTCTTACAAACACTATTGATGTGGACATTTTTTGTACATTCTTTTGGTGCACATATATACACATATTTGTTGGGATATGCCTAGGAGTGGAATTGCTGGGTCACAGAATATGCAACCTTACTTTACCAAGGTAGTTAGGCCACATCACACTCCCAGTGTGAGAGCTGTGGTTTTTCCTCAAGAGTAGGTGTTTTCTGTATTTTTCACTGGAGCCTTTCTGGTACATGTGCAGTGGTATCACACTATGATTTCAACGTGCATTTCCCTGATGACTAAAGATATTGAGCATTTTCCACATGTTTATTATTTATTTGGATATCTTCTTTTATAAAGTATCTGTCTAGTTTTTTTGCCAATTAAAAAAAAATGGTTGCCTGCCTTTTCCTTATTGACTTGTGGGAGCTCTTTATATATTCTGGCTATGAGCCCTTTTTCAAGTGTAGCAAATATCTTCCACTCTGTGGCCTGCCTTTTTGCTATGTCATCATGTTGTTTCCTTTTGCAATGAGCAAAGGTTTTTAATTTTACTACAGTACAATGCATCAAGTTTTTTGGCTGATGTTCTCTATACCTTATTTAAAAATGTTTGCCACAATTAGTTCACAATGGAAGATTTAATTGCAGTTATATTAGCTCTCAGTCACTTCAATTAAATCTGTGTGTGCTGAGACCAAGAGAATACAGCTGGTTCGTGGACCCAAGTCCTAATTCTGTGGTTTAAAATGAGCGTTCCCATCCTACTGCAAAGTGATAAAAATAGGGAGAAGGTGTTTGTTTTTTAAAAAAATATATATATTTTTATTGAGTTCAGAGAGGAAGGAAGAGGGAGATAGAAACATCAATGATTAGAGATAATCATTGATCGGCTGCCTCCTGCATGCTCTACACCGGGGGTCAAACCTACAACCAGGGCTTGTGCCATGACTGGGAATTAACCGTGACCTGCTGGTTCACAGGTCAACCTCAACCACTGAGCCATGCCGGTCAGGTGGGAGAAGGGTTTTTGAATAGAAATGCCTACCACGTAGGATAAACTGTTTCTGTCCCAACCAACTTCTAAGACCTGAAAAGGGGAGATAGCAGGGGCTGTGTACAGGGCTGCAGGTAAAGATTACTTTTCTTCCCAGCAAAGGTGAAGATATTTGAGGAATAGGAGATAGGCTTCCGATTCAGCAGGGCTGTAGGTTGGAATGTTCAAGGAGAAACAGAAAGCTCTGGCTCCCTGGTACCTCTGCCACTGTGTATGTATATGTTGGGTCCACATTTTCCAGATTGGCTACTGCTCCAGGTCTCTAGCAGAGTCGTCATTGAAGGAAAACCTCTGGCCCTGAGGTGTCATGGATGGAATAATCAGAAGGTGTACAATGTGCTTTTCTACCACAATAACAAGACCTTTCAGTTTTCTTATCGGAATTCTGAATTCACCATCCCGAAAACCAACCTGAGTCACAACGGCATCTATCACTGCACGGGAAACAGGCACTTCACATCAGCAGGAGTATCTGTCACTGTGAAAGGTATTGTATCTGAACAATCACAGATCGATAGTTTTAAGGACCAGTGAAACCATCATCAATCATCCCTGTAATTTGCAGGTGAAGAAACTGAGCTCCAGGGAGGTAAACGGCCTTACCTAGAGGCCACGAGACCACCAGCGGCTGGGTGGGGACCAGAACTGAGGTTTCCTGGGTCCCGGGCCATTGCTCTTTCCAGCAGACCACGGTGCCGCTGTAATAATCCCAGGAGCTAATGTCAAGGCCAGGGCATAGTGAGGAACCATTTCATCAATTTTATTTTAGTTGTAAGGAACAGAGACTCACTCAAGGTAGGCAGGGAGTTATTAGAAAATCACCCATGGAATCTCATAAAAGCTCCGTAAGAAACAGAGGCCAGGAAGACATTGGGACTTAGTTATACTTTCCATCTCTCTCTCAGGGAAAACGGCCTCTCTGGTTCCACTTCTTTCTGAACCTCTGCTAACTAATTAGCTTCCTGTTCCAGTTACCTGTGGCCTTTGTTGTGACTCTTCAATGGCCTTTCATCTCAGTACTCATAACCACTGTCTGAGAAAAAAAAAAAGGGCAAGAAATTATTGTCCTCCGTGGTCGGAAAACCGCGGCTCGCGAGCCACATGCGGCTCTTTGGCCCCTTCAGTGTGGCCACGAAGTTTCAATCGCACTGTACGTGGGCGCCCGCACGTGGTATTTTGTGGAAGAGCCACACTCAAGGGGCCGCAGTTTGCTGACCACTGGTCTAGATTATCATTTGAGACACTGAACTGGCTAGTGTGTGGGTGTGTCCACAATAAGTAACAGTCAGGGAAGCATGAATCATGTAGAGGATTTTCCCCAGGAGGATGTGAGCAAGCTGGTCACTATATCTATGAGGAAACCCTAAAAATGCCTCTCTGCTGGAAGTGGGAAAAATTATGTTTGATGGATGCACTCTCCAGGGACAGGTTCCCAAAGGAGGAGGGGGTGTATCTTCTGCAAAAAGAACCTTGACTCCGAGTCAGGTAACTGTCAACGTTTTCTTTAGAGCTATTTCCAGCCCCCGTGCTGAGAGCATCGTCTTCATCCCCCCTCCTTGAGGGGGATCCAGTCAACCTGAGCTGTGAAACAAGGGTGCTCCCACACAGCCCTCTGGTGCAGCTCTACTACTCCTTCTACGTGGCAAATAAGACCTTGGTGAACAGGACCACGTCTTCTGACTACCAGATACTGACTGCGAACAGAGAAGATGCCGGGTCCTACTGGTGTGAGGCTGCCACAGAAGATGGAAATGTCATCAAGCACAGCCCCGAGTTGGAACTTCAAGTGCTTGGTGAGTGAGAACGATGGGAACTGACTGGCACAAAAGATGCTTCCTTTTCTCCTATGGGACTGAGGTCTGTTTCAGGGGATTCATGGCTCGGACAGGACAAACCTATGAACAGGCCTTTCCACCCTCGATTCAAAACTTCACTATTCTCCTTATAGACATCATTGCGTCCCCTCTCCTTCCCTTCCTGTTTATTTCCTCCTTTCTTTTCTCTCCTATATTTTCTCTTTCTTTCTCTCTCTGCCTCCCTTGTCTCTCCCTCTCTTTCCCTGACAATCCAATCAGCAATATATAGAGTTCCTCCTATCTATCGTCACAGGTTTTGGAGTACAGTTCTTACTTGAAGGAACTCACATGGTAGGTTGGCGGCTGGGGATTTTGTGGATTGCACATAAATTCCCAAATGTCTATATCTGGCTGAGGTGAAGGGATTGTGAGCTCCAGAAGAGAAACTCCTTGGGGGGAAAATGTTTATCTTCAATCCAAATTCATTTCAAGCATTATATAGAAAGAGCAGTTGTCTCTGTCCACTGACAGGGCCCTGGCAGTTCAGGTCCTATGAGGAGCCTGCCCCTTGTCCGTAAGCCATGTAGCCCAGCTAGAGCCACCTCCAGCTCCTTCCTGCCCCTGAAATGATCAGTGTCTCCACTGGGGACAGGCATAGCAGGTCTCAGCCAGCCTTGTCTTCCACATAACTCAGTCAGATCCCTCTGGTTTCTGAATGGCATTTCTTCTTTGTCATTTTCTTTGACAGGCCTCCAGTCACCAACTTCTGTCTGGTTTCATGGTCTGTTCTATCTGTTAATGGGAATAATATTTTTGGTGAACACTGTTTTGTGTGTGATAATACATAAGAAACTGCAAAGGAACAAAACGTGGATTTTAGAAATTCCTTTGGACTCCGATTATGGGAAGAAGGTAACTTATCGTTGAGAAGATAGACATTTAGAAGAAGAGCTGACACAGCGGGAACAAGAAAAGCTACAAGAAAGGACATTCCAGAAGCTCCAGGAGCAGCAGCAGCAGCTCAGTGGGTGCCCATAAATCAAGGCAGTCCCTACCTCTTCCTCTTTGTGTGACCATTGGGGCACAACCTCCAAAAGTTAAAAGACACTAGAACTGTGAGTCCCATGGCACCTGACTAACTCTTAAATAAAGCAAATAAATGAGCTGACTTCAATGATGATAAACTCGGAAATTTTATAATCGGGTGATTTGATGTGAGACTTCCTCTAAAGCAATCTTTAAAAACTAGAAGTCGCCCTAACACTGACTGGCACATGGATGGAGTGTCGGCCTGCCAACTGAAAGGTCCCAGGTTCGATTCCGGTCAAGGGCATGTACCTTGGTTGCGGGCACATCCCCAGTGGGGGGTGTGCAGGAGGCAGCTGATCGATGTTTCTCTCTCATAGATGTTTCTAACTCTCTATCCCTCTCCCTTCCTCTCTGTAAAAAACCAATAAAATATATTTAAAAAAAATAAATAAAAACTAGAAGTCAAGTCTAACCCAATTATCCTATTAAGTATTTTGAGCAATATTCCTGGGGACAGGGTGAAAAGGTAAGTCTTTTGCACATGTACAAGAGATTAAGCCAGAAAGAGACAGAATGAGAGAGAGAGAGACAGAGAGAGGGGATATGAGGGATACAAGCAGGAGTAGAAGACCAAAAAGGAAACATAACTTGCAAATGACTTCTGAGAGACTGTGGAAAGGAGAACTCACATCTCTGTGGGGCTCAGGATGGTTACTTGATACCTTTTCTTCTTTAGCGCACCAGCAGGGAAGGTGTCCATACATCTTACAGGGATATAAGGGCGTAACTCACGAGAAATGGGCGCATTATTTTTGCCTTTTCATTTGAGGCTTTCTCATAACCTCTGTGTCCAGAGATAACCAGGGTCCTTGCTTGTCTGTCCTCTTTCCCTGCGCTATGGAAAAGCAGAATGTAACCGCTGCTTTTCCTAATAAATTAAATGCAGAGCTCCAAGCTTGGCACTGCAAGGAGAAGCTTCAAGTAGGGAGGGCCAGTGACATCATCAAGTCCCAATTCTTACCTCCAGATTTACTTTATCTTCCTGATTTTCTGGGTGAGTACGAACTAGCTTCAAGATACACTGCTCTGACCATGGCCAGTGTGGCTCAGTTGGTCGGAGTGTCATCCTGGGCACCGGACGGTTGCTAGTTAGATTCTCTGTCAGAGCCCACACCTAGCTTGCGGGTTCAATCTCCGGGCGCGAGGCAACCGATCTCACATTGATGTTTCTCTCAAGCCTCTGCCCTCCCTTCCTCTCTCTAAAATTAAGATATGCGGCTCTCTCACTTGGGCTCTATTTTTTGGATACAAGATGTTTTCCTGCTACTCCACAGCACAGCTGAGATAAAACTGAAATACGTGAATACGACTTAACTAAAGCTCAGAAAAACACACACACAAAAGGGTGTAAACAAACCTAGCAACATAATTCTAAATTATTTGGTTGAAAAAAATGTAGCCTATCAGCCAAACAAGGACACATTCCTGCCTTGCCCCTGGTCTGGCTCCACCGGACAAGGCTCACCTCCAACACCCACCACCTGGAAGCACCTTCGAGCAGCTTGGGACGCGAAGTGGATGGAAGAGCAGCTGAGTCCCCTGCTTCCCTCGCCTGTGGACAACGAGAATGTCCTCTCCCCTTCACTTTCAGAAAAATGTATGATAATTATCATCTCCATAGAAGCCCAACGACTCCGACATTTTTATTAAAGGATATGGTCATATATGATAGCTGAAGTCTCATTGATTGCACGGAAGATTTTGACTTGTGGACCAGAGAAACAGAAATGAGAACTGCAGGAAAGAGGCCTGCAGACACTCTGCAGGGACCGTGTGCAGGGACCAGCCCGAGGAACTGGGAAGTGGCGCCGGAAGTGACAGTCACACGGAGGGAGCGCGCGGCATCCTCACGGGGAGGAGAATTCCAGGGAAAGGGCCCTAGGCCTGCTGATGCCGCAGCTTCTAGGGGCGTTGGCGGGGCGCGGGCGGCATCAGCAGGGCGGGCAGAGGAAAGCAAGAAAGGAAAGTGCGTGTCCGAGGCCCCCGGTACCGAAAAGAGCACCCACCGCTGAGCGGGCCCCCACCTCTCGCCGTGGGCGCCGGTGTGAGACGCTGGCTCCGCCGCGGGAGGAAGGAAGCATCGCGGGAAGCCCAAGGCAACGGCTGCAGCCTCCGGGCCGCGGAGCTG